ATGCAGCAAAAAGGTGGGAATTAAATGTAACTTTTTTTTCTAAATCTGCATACAGAAGAAGTGACAGCAGGGAATTGTATCCTGGGACTTGCACTTTCCAGTTAGCCATCTTGTTCTCTTAACTCTGGCACTGAAACTTGCTCAATCTAAGTGTGGATATTATTGACAATTATTTGCTGTCAGATATCTTTTTGGTGTTCATCAAAGCATTATGAGTCTGTGGGAGTGTGTCTTTTACCATACTTGGAATCCTTTTCTGAGTAGCACATCCAGGGATTAGGATTTATCTGAAAGGAAGCTGACTTTTTGTACGAAGTTTCTTCGTTTCCCATCCTGTCATACTAACAGAGGGTAAAAGATAGAAATCATTTTGGTCAGGCTAAACTGTCACTTCATACATTCTTAGGTTTAGGGCTTGCAGAAAAGCATATTTTATTTTTCATCTTGTCTTTGGGAGATCAAACTGAGTTTTCTATTGCTTCTTCACATACAGTATTTTTAAAATTTCTAGTAACTACTTTTCTTTTTTTCATAATGTCTCCATTTGGTTCACTTTTTTTTTTTTTTTTTTTTTTAACTGAGTAGATAAACTTTAATTAAAGTGCTGCAACTGAGGCCTTATCACTGCCAAGTGGAGTGGAAGGGCATCACCTGTCTTTTTCTTAGATGACATTCAAAGGAAGAGCTATTGATTTTGTCCCAGAGAGAGTCTGAGTCATGGCTTTTTCAGACTGTTTTATTATCCAATGGTTAGCTCCACTCAGATATGATTTTGGGCCATTATGACTAACACCAGAATCCCAAAGGAAAATCAGAAGGCACAGTGCACCACTCACGGTAATTGCTGTGGCGACCACGGCAATCTGACAATTTCTTTAAGCATCTATCAATCCACTGTTACAATTAACTCTTACACTAGACATTGACTCATGACAAAGAGATGGTATATCATCCTAATCTTCCTCTTCTGCTCTGGGAAGTAGGATAGTTGGATGAAAATCAGAAGTTGACCTAGTGCATTTTGTGTAGGGGGAAGAAGCATCTGTAAGAAAGATAGAGATTAAAACAACCTCAGCTGGACTGTGATCGGTGCTGATTTCTTTTCTTTTCCATTAGATTTCCTAAGGCAAATGTATAAGTTTGTTTGTGCTTTGGGAAAATGAAATTAAGCAAGGTTTTATTGATTGGGAAGTACTTCATCTGGGAACAGCTTCTGAACATTGTGAGAGGCTGCATGTTGTCTGTGGTATTCAGTCTGCTGTGCAGGACTGTATCAGGGATTGTTGATATTTTTTGGCCTGTGTTTGGCCCATCCACCTGTGAAAGTTTTGTTCTTTGCCTGCCGAGTTCACTGATAAACTGGAGCTTCATCCTTGGAGAGAGAGTTTCTTGTATAAACTGTTTTAATTGGTGTTCTGTGATTGGTTCATTGTCTGTAGAGGACATTTGAAGGAGAAACTGAAGAGAAGAGAGGAAGTAAAGCCCCCAGATCCAAATAGATAAGACCCCTTGAGTGAAACAGCAAAAGTGCGAGGGGAATCCCAAAGTTCTCCCACATGGCTGAAGGGGGGCACTCACATAATGGGGGGAGCGACCGAAGGCCTCTGGCTGGGCGGTGCTACCACACCGGCCCAGGGAGACATACCTGGCTAATTGGATAAAAAATGCAGGTGGCTTGTGTTCGGGGCTCTCAAGCTTCACATGAAGGACAACTTTGCCTTTGTGGGGACACCCACCATCTTGTGAGCCTTCTGACCCTCCAAGGATGCAGCCTCTGCTATGGGGAATTCTGGTTATTCTGGGGTCGGTAAGACAACCTCGTAAAACACAGATGCGGGAGTGGGGGTTTCACTGAGGGCTTAGTTCACTCCTCTCCTTTCCTGTCTCTTGGGTTCCTGTTTACTTGGCCACTTTTTGTAATTAATACTGGGTTTATTTTTGAGCTCTCAACAGTGTCTTGGTTTTCAATCTTGGCATCTTTTGAACTCACCCTGTTACAAGGACCTGTATGTGTGGACAAGATCTTTTATGCTCATTGTGTGTGCACATCGGCTGTGCATTCTATCACACTGACAAGAGCTTGGGAGTTTCTGACGTGCTTAGGGCATTCCTCCAGTTCTCAAGTGACCCCTTATGCGAGGCTGCGTATGGATGTAGCAAGAAAAGATGTTGCACAGCTTTTCTAGTATAAGATGGATGGACAATATAAAGTTAATGAAATCTGCTTCCATCTTTGTCTTCTTTGAAACTCAGTATCTGGAAGGATAACAACCACATTCTAATTTGTATTCCCTGATACTGTTTTGGGCTTTGATAATAAGAGTCAATAATGACTTAAAAGTAGTCTTACCAGTCTGGAAGAAAGCTGCTGATTGGAATCTCAGACCACAAAATACAAGTCTAATTGTATTTCTGTTGAGCATCTGGGCCCATGTTTACTGTTCCATAAAAATGTTGTTTGTGGCATGTCTTAGAAGGGTTTGGAAACAGGGAGCTTTCCACCATGTGTTCCATTCATACAGTATTCCATTAAGTCGCATGCAAGTTTTTTTCTAAATTCACTTGAGATTCCTGTCACAGAAAATAACCAGTTAACTATGTTTTTCCATTATGGAGATTTTAGTTGGTAGATCCCAGAAGAGCCCTACCTTTCTGTTTACACAAGACTAACCCCTTCAGTTACTGTCTTTGCTGAACAGCAAAGAGCAGTGTATTTGTCACGCAAGAGCTCTTCAAGTGGAGGCTGTGCTATCCACTTTGTAATCATCTCTGTCAACACTTGCACAACATTAAACACAATACAATGGTGACCTATGCCACTTCGTTTTAGACATAACTGTGGCAGAAGAAGTAGGATTTTGTTACTCTTTTCTCCTGCATTCTGTACACATCAGCCCTCTCTTTCCATCAGTGCTTCAGCCTTGTACACATTCACAAACTGGTTGTGTGGAAGCACCCAGGAAGAGATGCCTGGAAAATGAGAGGTAGTTATAACCTGGACAGCACAGGTTAGTGCCTGGAGCACCTTGTTATTTGCCCCATTCTTTCCCAGTTGGGTGTGGTGTGTTTGGTGTTAGTGGAACAGAAGGAGTTGTCCTGTTCCCATGTAGTTGTCAGTTCATGAGCACTGTTACCAAATATGCACACACTGAGCCAACAGTGCTGACAAAGTCAGCATTATTAAACTTCTCCTTTTCTGCTGACCTTGGAGATTGGTGTGATGGACATCCTGTGTTCACAGAGGCATTCTGTAATGTAGCACTTCCATAAACTGAACTAGAATTCATGCTTTTTGCATAGGGACAATCCCAAGATACTCATGTGAGACTCAGTTAGTAATTTAGGATTACCTAACTGTGTGTTTTATCTGTCTGAGTTACTGTGATTGTCCAATTTATTGTGTAACATAAAATGGAATTTAATATTAATGTACCAAATGGTAGTCACATGAATTAACACAAAACATGTAAGTTCTGAATAATTAGTGGCTTAGTGCAAGGCAAGTATCACAATGGTATTTCTGAAGATGGAACAAATCTATTGCTTTCTATGCATTTCTAATATTCCTTTGTGACATTCTCTTGAGAGACAAAGCAGACTGTAGATCTGTATATGAAAGGCAATTCAATGCCAACACTAATATGGAAGCTTTTAAGAAGTGTTTAAGCTTTAAAGCTCTAAAGAAGCTATATTTTTAAATTATATTTTATGGTATTACCCTTTGTAATATAAATTAAATTTTATATTTAAATTATTTTGCCTGAAAAAAAGGAATATGCCCTTTGGTATTTGTCATATAGATGGGAATAGTAACAAAGCACATAACTGCTCCTTCTCTAAGTCTTGACATTACTGTCTTCTAGCTTGATCCAAACCCTAACTCAAGTCTGTTTACCCTTTGGGTTTAGGACCAATTTTACTTCAGCTCCTTTATCTCTGTCCTTCCCTCTGTTTTTGGGGGGTTTGTGGTTTTTTTGTTTGTTTGTTTGTTTGTTTGTTTCCCCCCCATTATGATATATTTGAGTATCAAAAAATGGCTTGTTAAGCACAAACACAACTTCACTATTGCCATTTAAAAAATGTTGAGGAAAATTGTATATTCAGAAAGGCAGAGGGGCGATAATTTATTTTAGAACAACTGTGTTAATTCTCTTTTGACTGGCACCCTTCTCCATTTGTCTGCCTTTTCATTTCTCACCATGTCTACCCAACAGTTGCTTCCATCAGTCTCTAAGCAACCATTTTCTCCTGGTTCTTTCTTCTAGAGAAATCTTTGCTCTTTTTTTAATGTTTCAGATTTTCATGGGTGACTTAGAAATGCTAATGTTATTATAGCATATAAACCGAGAATGTATGCAGCAATACAGCAAATATATTACTATAAATAAGAAGAAATATAAATTGTGTGGAAGATATGTAAGAAGTATGTATTTTGTAAAGGTGATGAATATTGCAGAAATCTAATTATTAGTAGTGTTATTTTAACACCGGACAAAAAATACGTCTTTTTCTATTCACCTAAGAGTTTGATTTAGCATGGACATCCTAACACATTGTTGTCAAAGAAGTTAGTTTAGTTTTTGGGGCAAGTGTTTGTCACTGGAGACTCATTTCTTTATGGAAACTGTTGTCATGGTGGCTTAAGAAGGTTTCAACAAGAAAGGAGCAGCCTTAACACTTAGAAATTGTCCTTCATTCTGCACATACTCACTTCATATGTAAGGTTTTGTGGTTCTTCTATTGTTGTAACACTTTCTGCCTCACTATATTCTTATTGCTTGTAGGAGAGTATTTCAGTACCTTTGAATGCTAGGAATCAATACATTGTTGTGAGAATTTCAAGGAAGCTCTGGGTAGGTTTCCTACTGAATGTTTTTCACCAGAGCTGTGTTGGCTGATGCGTTTCAACAGGGGAATTAAAAAGTGCTGTCAGCTGTGTCTAAACAGTGTCTGACTGTGGGAGAGGTGGCACTCTAAGAGCAGTGTTGTTCTGTTTGCAGAAAGCCACATTCTCGAGGATGTGAACAAGTGTATCATTGCCCTGAGGGAGCAGGATGCGGATGACCTGGATCGTGTGGCAGGTGCCATCCGAGGCCGTGCTTCCAGGGTCGCTCACATTGTTTCGGGCGAGATGGACAATTATGAACCTGGAGCTTACACTGAGGGGGTGATGGCCAATGTTCAGTATCTGACCAAGAATGGTAAGTCTGATATCTGAAGTTGTTACAGTGCTATAACCTTTCCTTTATATGCCACGTTTAAAGTGAATCCTGTGATTTTCTGATGTGCTGCACTAACAATTCACTCTGTGATCTCTACTCTCCTTTCAGCATCCTAGCGAATTACGGTGATACCATTCAATTCAAAACTAATTCTTAGATTATTCTTTTTTAATTACATGGTTTACTTAAACTTATTTAAATTATGGAAGACTTTTACTGGAGTTCTCAATGCAAGTAACAATGTTTGGAGACTTGTAACTAACAAGGTAGCAGATTTCCACTTTGTTGCAGTGGCCTCACCACACATGTTCTCAGCAGATGAAAGGCAAACTCATATAAAGAAAAGCAGGTGCATAATTTATGTCTACTTCCCCTTTAAAGACTATTGGACAGTGGTCAAATATCTCAAAATACCTTCAGTTCTGCTAAGCAAATCTGAAACTACCTGAAATGGTTAGTAGTCTCCAATTACTTTTTCATAATATTAAAAAAGAGGATATCCTTTATTGGAAAATGCCTGTACTGGCCACAGGGGTGTAACTGCATCGTTCTATAGATGGTTCCTGATAGTTACATAAATGAATCTTTGGCCTTTCATAGTTTATACTTACTACTAACAATAAAAAGAAATTATCTGTGGACCTCCCAGGACTTCCATGGTTTCAGTGGTTGGGCAGTTAAACTGCTCTTAAAAAATTTTCTGGCAAGTCTGTACATCCCTGGAATATAGGACTTAGCTTCACGAACTCGGAAGTCTAAATCCTAGCTCTTTCTTAGTAAGTTCAAATATGTCCGGGGCAGAACTGTCTTCATGTGAACAAGAGTAAAGTGACATTGCAGGGAAGTGACTAAAGAAACAGAATAGTGAGAAGTTTGAAACAGACTTGCCTGGTTTTATCCTATTTTCTGATATTTTGATGAGAAAATCTGAACATTTTCATCCTTACATTAATTTTTCATGACTTCTGGAAGTGCTCTGACAACTACCAAGGGAAGCAACATAGGAAAGTATAGTTTAGATTATCTTGTAAAAGCTGAGCCCATCTTTCTTGAAACCAATAGTGTTTAAAAACATTAGGAGTTGACACTGAGTTCTGTTCTGTTGCCTTGCTTCAGCAGTAATATATGCAGTGTACCTAAACCTGTCTGTCTACGTAAGACAGGGAGACATAAAATTGGTTTTGGTTGGAATGCTTGCCTGTGTCAAGGGACATCAAGCATGTGGTATCTCAAATGACTTTGCAGTCAAACCAAAGAATCCACTGCTTTATGTTATTCAATAGGAGCAGGAAAAAGAAAATAACATGTACCTTTCATTTTCATCTGTATTTATATGATCTGGAATGAACAGGCATCAAATCACATGAAGGCTTTTTGGTTTTGATGGTTTTATTTTATTGGTTGGCTGTAACTTTTTCAGCTGACAGGTAAAATGCAGGTAGGTTGCAGCCCTCAGGTGTGACCTCAACCATTCTATCACAGCTGAATCTTTCATGTGCCAGCTGATTGCAAGGTGACACTTCACTAGGAGAGAGCTGTGCCATGACCTCCTCAGTAAGCTTATAGAAGTAACCTGGGCCAGTGAAATGCATTCTTCATGCCTAATAAAAAGGTGAAGTGTTACTGAAGAGAAATTATTGCAGGCAGAGTATAGAATTACTGAAAATGAAATTACAGACTAGTAGCATACATGGAAATAGCAGAGAAATAGAAACAAAAATGAAAGAGAGTGGGAGCAGAAATAGGAAGGATGCAAACTGGAGGTAACAGGAAAGAGAAAATATGCATAAAGAGGAGCAGATACATTTACTATGTGTTAAAACAAAGACCAAGGTTTAGTTGTAGAACATATGTTGAGGTAATTTATAAGAAAAGGAAGAGCTTTAATTTTCTGCATTGCAGTATGCAAGAAAAGAGCATAAGATCACTGAATCTGTGTATTCAGCTGGACGACATCAGACACATTTGAGATAAAGTGAGCTATCCAACAGTAATATCATAATACAATGAGTATTTAAAGCTGGAACTTAATTTTCTAGTTGTGTAGTCCTGTTTACATACGAGCTGTTGACAGCCAAATGGATCTCTCCAGCATCATACAGTGGAGTGTCTGCTTTCTCAGGGTTATTTATGCTGTTCCTCCATTTTACCCCTTTCCTTTTGCTGAACAAGAAGACAGACCACCAGCCAACTAACAACACGGCTCTGTAAAAGCACTGTTTAAGGTGTGGAGTTGAGCTTTAAGAAGTTGGATAATACCGGAAGTGAAGTTGTCTTTGCAGCCTTCATTTTCTTTATTTTGCACTCTGTGTGTTTGTGACATGCATTCTGACACTGTGGTTGTGTGATCATACGCAGTTATGTTACAAAACAGCTGCTTTGCTCAGGTCACTGAATGGACCTGCTCTAGACATATACTGGGTTCACATTTTTGAGGAGGAGGTGTCGTGGGTTTGCCAACCAGCGCCCCCTGGGGCTGAAAATGTTTTTTTCCTGGTGAATTTCCAAAGCAAAGCCAATTAAAAGTTTTAGTAACGCCTCTGCCAATTACATATGTAAGAAAATGGAAGCCTGTGGTGCAGAAGAAAATGGAATAGCCAGTGTAGCAGCTGGTCCTGTTGGGCCCAGGTGTGCGCCCCCCACTCCGGGCCAAGTCTGGCTCAAGTGAGGGGGGGCCAGGCCCCCTTCTCTCCTGTAACAGAGTAGAGAAAAAAAAAAAACTTTAGAGAAGAACCTGGACAAGACGTGCCGCAAAAGGAATTCCAGGCAGAGATAGTGCAGCCTCCAAGGTCACAGCTGGCATCTGGAGGAGAGAGAAGAGAAGCCCAAAGGGGGGGCTCCTTTTCCCCCGTCTCTCTTTCTCTCCCTTCAGCAGAGAAGAGACTGAAAACTAAAAATGTCTGCCACCTGTGGAAGACTGCTGGGGAGTGGAGGCCCCCCTCTGCAGCTCATGAAGGAGCCCACACCGAAGCAGAGGAGTGCATGAAGAAGATGTGACTCCATGGGAGGCCTAGGATGAAACAGAGCCCTGCTGGAGACCTGTGGCCCGTGGAGAGAGAGACCTACGCTGGAGTGAGTTGGCCTGGGTAGGATTTGTGTGATCCCACTGAGGGATCCATTCCAGTGCAGCTGAATTTGTGACCCTGAGGGACAGCAGAGAATGGAAGAACTGTTGCCCAAAGGTAAACTCACATTAGAGAGGTCCATCAAGGACTGTCTCTCAGGGGGAGGAACCTCACAGGAAACAGGGGTGGACTCAAAAGCCATTATCCCCTGTCACCCTGTGGTGAAGATCCATGGTAAGACAAGTGTCCCCTTGCAGTCCAGGGAGGACTCCACAGGGCCTGGGTAACCCCCAGCCTCCGGTCTTAGCCCAGGAGGGGGTGAGCCCAGCCCTGAGGTCGACATAGAAGAGAGAGAGAGAGAAAGACAGTTCCAGCTGCAACGAATCGGAGCTGTTGTCCTAAAGATAATAGAAAAGAAACTTTCAAAGTGCTGCAAAATTATTTAAAAGACCTTTAACTCTGGAAATGGAAAAGAGACTGCTTCTCCTCCTGAACTTATACAAAGGGGGGAGGGGTATTTCTGTAAATTCATAACATTTTTGCCTAATTAGAATTGTTCTATATATAATTCTTTAGTTTTTATCTTACTAGTAATAAATCCTAATATTATTCTCCCCACATCGGATCTCTTTTGTCTGCATAAACCTTCTATCAACTTATAGCAATTGTGTGAGAAGAAATTAGCCCAAAGTAAACCCACGACAGGAGGCTGGTGTCCACAGGGTCACTTTGGAGAGTAATGATGAGGCAGAAGACTGCAGGAAGAGAATATATGATCTCATGTTGAGGATAGTTATGGATGGAGTTGATGATCTTGGTCCATTTGAACCTAAATGATTCTCTGATTCTGCAGTTCATTTGCACTGCCCAGGTCTGTGCAGAATTCCTGCATGGTACTGAGTATGTTAGGCTACAGCTCGTTGGGGAGTGCAGGGGTGCTCCACAACTCCTGCTCTGAGTGAGCATCATGCTGACAGTGCCCTTGTTCTACAGCACAAAGTGACTGGGACATACTCTGTCCCCTCTCCGTCTCAGGTTTTGGTGGGGAGTAGGTAGCAAAGCATTCCAGCCAAGTCCTTGGTCTAAGCTTCTGTAAGTCAGCATTGACAGTCATGCCCTGGAAATGTTGCCCCAGGGTATTGTCACAGGTAAGAGTGGAAGGCTGAGAAAAAATTTATTAAACAAGGCCTGCCACTGAGTCCCGAGGTGCAGAAAGGATTCCCTTGCCTTCTAAACCCCTTCTCGGAGAGGAATCGAGGTGCAGCTGAATCCAATCTTAGCCTTGGATTATGTCAGTGGTTTAAATTCAAGGAATTACAGAGGTGTGATTGAACCACCTGTGTCCCACAGGTTAAAACAATTGGCAAAATGACAATATTTATATAAAATGAATAGTTGATTATTACAAATGATCAGGCAAAAGATCTTAATCACAATTATTTACTACACAATACAAAAGCTAAGACTACTAGTATAGTATAAGGTAGGATAGTGTACTATATTGAAGCAAGTATAGAAACAATTTAAACTAGAAAAAAGAAGATAATTATTAAGTAGAGATGTGATGTAACTCACCCATACCAACGTTCATGGGGAGATCTTTCTCTCAACCCTGAGGACTATCTTTGGGGAGCGTCTGGATGCAGAAGTTTTTAATGTTGTTTAAGTGAATATGCTTCCAAGGTGGCTTTTGTAACTTGTGCAAACTCACCTTCTTCTTCCCAGGATTCTCAGTCTTTATCTCTACTTTGGAATGTCCTGATAGATACCTGAAAGTCTCCCTATTTGTTGTTAACCCTTTGTTATCATTGGTTGGTTGTAAGACCTCCTGGACTCCCAATGGTCACTTTGTAATCCCCCCAAGAGCTATTTAAGTCACTACCCAAAACAATAAACTCTCTCTGCCTCTCTCCT